ATGAATATATATCATTACGTACGTACAACTCATTCAAGGTCAGATTCAGGCCTGTGGGTAACTAAACGAGCCTCGGCTCCTCATATCTGAAAATGCTCTAGCGAATAAAGTGATACGTTGCGGATGCGACGCTGCAAGTGTTCAGGTAACTTGGGACCGAGAGAGTCTGCTTAAATGGCCACACAGACAAAAGGGAACAATGGCATAGTCTGTGTAAAATGCGCTACGACATCTGAATTTGGAGGAGCTATACTCCAAATAACATATTCTGGAATACGAGCCCATATCCATAGTGTTAATATGTTACATATTATTATATATGATTACTAATTCATCAGTGTTTAGATTTTTCGAACACAGTAGATCTCTACCTTTGTCTTTAGGAACCGATATGAACGTGTTAACCAGTGGCTCACGTTCGATTATGTAGTCTGAAAAGAGTGCATCAAAACCGGCGAAGCACAGAAACGATGGTCACACAAACGGATGGATTTTCGCTGTTTCGTTCCAACTTGTCCGCTTCCTTGCCAAACAGGTTCTGTAAGCAATAGCTTTTTACGCTGTGCTCTGTTATGAAGCAAAAAATCTACCTTGAATAGATTGGTCTTCACGAACATCAGCATCGACAACAGTTTCACCTCCCTTTTGTAGCCTTTCTCACGCAAAACGATGACGTCCAGCAGCTTCGATCCGACAAAACTGCCAAGCGACGCCAATCTGTTGGTCAACGAACGATCAGTAACATACACAATAAAGATATGAAGATAAAAAACAACCGTTTTAAACGATTATTCGGATTCTTTCTCGACTTATGTTTAAAACATCAGAGAACCAAATCCTATGATGTTCAACGCATTTCGACACCGCGCATCGGCAGGTAATGATCAAGGTAAAAAATGACCTAAGGATGAACTAAGAAAAATAATTATTCAAACGGAAAATTTGTAAATCGTAAAAAATTCGATTTTCCCGTGTATTTGTACTGTTTTGAACATTTATTTTCCTTAATAAGGCATAAAACCGTTCTAATAAAGATGAATACAGATATGCACTCGTTACCTGTATTCTTTCTTTAGTTGATTCATAATTCATTTTTAAGTGTCATAACCTGTGGTACGCAGGCATTGAATCTATATCTCCGTTCATATTGTTGCAAATGTTTTAAGCACTTTGGTCATACTTAAAAATGCATAAAACAGTAGGACAGTAAAACAGTCACTTTACTGTCATTTTTTGTCAAACGGTAAATGATACTGCGCTTTGCTTTCATCCTCAGTTTCCCTAATTCAGGATCAATGCATGTAACAGCATTCAGACCTGTCGTTCGGAACGCCGTTCAGAACAGTTGCAGCTTAAGCCGATGCCTCCTGATGTAGTGCCTTTTCATGCGTACAGTGAATCCTCAATTACTGCACACGAATATGGTTACGCAGGAAGAGGTGCTGAATAAAAATGGCATTAATTACTCCATCCAGCGTTAGTATCAACCAGGCCAAAAATGCGGGCTTGGATAACCTTCGCCGGTCAAAGACAACGGCATCCTTCATAAGCGTACAGAGTCGAATAAATATAATTAATGCTTCCTTGTTTTGCAATAAATCACTATATTCACAACCTATTTTAGTCTGTACAATTAATATTAATAGAAAAGTACAACAACTTTCGACGTTTACATAACCAGTCTACATAAAACAGCTACGATATAAATTCAATCTTACTACTATGCCTAGGCATAAACTAAACTCGTACATAACTTGAAGCTGCAGAATTACTTTGTTTCGTGACGTAAATATCTTCAACTTTTCAAAACTTTTACCAAAAGGAAGCAAACTCTTCTCTGAATGAGATCTATCATTACTTTATTCATACAGCTTGCATGCAGACCTGCTGCTTAATGTATCTTTATTTCCTTTCGCCAAGAGAGGCTACGGAATATGCTCCATCAATTCATCAAAATTTGTTAACTTACTTATCAAAATCTCCAGTTTCAATAAGGAATTATGTACCCAGAAAAAAAGCAAAATTATTCCTGACATACTTTCGTCATTTCGCTGTCGTCAAATGTCAAATATAGTAATTTTATACTTAACACCATTTAACTGTCATTTTGTTTTTTATTAGAATACTAGTAACCATTCCATACAACAACCGACCTCATCAAAGCAAGGTAGTTTTTCACGGAAGGGATTTGGTCAAAATATGCAAAAGACTATCAGAAATACTCAAAAGTAAGGCGATGCCCTTGCTTAATTTCGACTGGCTGGAATGTCGGTGAAGATCATGGAACAGTGTTACGTAAGCCATGCACTGAATTTTGCCGTTTTATATTTCTCAGCTCTAGCTGCTTTTCTCTGCCATGTCGAACGGGTTCCTCACAACTTACAACTTCTGCGGCGTTAAGGACAAGGCCGACTTTGGCAACAGTGTAGCACATGAAAACCATCATGTGACAAAGCTCGCTTCCCACTCCAATCACCTGTATAATATTATGTTCGTTCCTGTCAGAAAGATAACTGACCGTATATCTTGAACTGCGCCTACCCTCTAGAATGTGACTCTTATCTTTTAAAAGGAGGACACCAGTTCAAGGTGTTGAATAGCAGAAGAGAAAATACATGCTCAGGCATTTAGTAGTAAACATCGTTTACGATTGATTACATCCGAAAGAAAACCACATAGATAGCTGTCCCTCGAGATTAAAGGTAAACGTGCCTCCGCCGTATGTATTTTAAAAATCGAAAATGGTGTTATATTTCAAGATTTTCTACGTTGTATAACGATGTAATAAATGAAATGAAGTTTTTAAAGGGACAAAAGACAACCAAGACAACTGAATGTTCACAATGGTCTAAAATGTTCTACAATCCTACGAGAAAGAAACTTTTGTAAAAGTTAGAGTTACCCATCACGAAATCTTCTTCATCTAATCAAAATTTCATATCAATTGACTAACACTCTTCATACTCTATACTAGAACCTCAACACTCCCATCGCAGAAGGCGGGCAGTGATCAGCCTACGAAATCATAAGAGCAGGAAGAGCACACGTTGTAGTGCCAGCTTATGAACCTTCACGGTAGCTGGGAAGGACTGTCATGAACCCTTAATGGCCGCACACAGAAACTCTGGTATCTGAAATTTACAGAGCAACTGACACTATTCAGTGAAGTTCTGTCTCTGATAAAACCTGCGATTGAAAGTTCTGGAGGGCAATGTCCACGTCGGATTCGAGAGGAACCATGGCGATCATCAAGCTGTGTACCTCTGAACGAAAAACAACGACTCACATAGGCAAGGTTGCCAAAAGCACAGACGATGTTTGACGGGAGACGTATAACGAAATACGTAACAAATAACATCGTTTTACAGGCTAGAGGAAAATTCAAGTCGAAAAATTGCCTAACAATTAAGTTATCATTTGCTCGAACAGTGGATGACGTATCACATACTGTCAATTATATAAGCATTCTCGCTCAGTTTTTCTAACATGATGTAAAAGAATAGTTTTCATAGATTAACGGTTGAAAAATCTGTCGATACCAACTGCTACATGAAAAGTAAATTAATTCACTTTATTTAATTTGCATTTTTGTTAGCTCCTATTTAAAGGTAGGCTAAAGCAGCACTGGAAAGTCTATGTAAAAGCAGCACAAATCATAAAAAAGTTTAAAATAAGACATTTAACGAAATGTACTAACCACGTCGAATTACTTTTTGTGTAAGTCTGCGACGGTGCCAACGCGGTTCTGTGAATACTGGACGATTTCTGAAAACAGCAGGGCAAAGAGCGCAAAATTTGCCTAGAAAGGACAGGTTATAATTTAAAGAACACAACTGATGTTCGTCTGTGGAACATCCTCACAGAATACCTCGGTCTTTCCTCGACTGAGACTCCGATCCAAAATGTTTGCCGGCTTACTGGAAGTCTTGAATGGTACTGCGAATGACATGACAGGGCGTGATTCTTAAAACAGTCGATCATAATTAAAATCACTTCACCACTGACGGATAAACTGTACGGAAGCCACAATAAAATCGGCGCGGAACAATCTTAGAAATAGATAAAATAATAAAATAAAACTATTTTTCAAATGTGACCATAAACATGTACTTAAATATCTCAGCAAAAACTAAAATTTTACGAGTTAAATATAACTAAATGCCGGATATCTTCGTCACAATTTTCCCACTGCGAAAGTCTACCGCAATCCGTACACTGGCAGTTGCTCGTTCGGATCGCACTGGTGAAGAGACCGTTGGGCTTGCATGAATACAAAGCATGGGGAAAAAGAGACAGACTGCAGTCTCTCATGAAAAGACACTCAAGATTGACAAAAGTATATCGCCAGGTGCAAAAACAATTCTAGCACAATCCTGTGGCAGCAACTGA